AAATAAGATGCTAACATTTTAGCTGTAAGGACACATTTGCACTGCACATCTGATGCATACTTACATAGAACCCAAGTTCTTGCTTGAGGGTTTTACCGATAGTTCTCACCCTTGATTATAGATGTCATATAATTTTATGCAGCACATTACAATGTGTGGGTTAACTAAAAATTTGCAGACTCAATCCTTTGTACTCCAGCAGGTTCATTATTAGCTTAAATAGCACAATACACATTTTATTTTACTAGCTTAATTATAGAACAAGTGTTACCTGTCTGCATCAGCAACTCAGGAGTAAAATATTACAGCTACGATGAGTCCAGTCTAACACTTTCCACATTCATCATGTGGTCCATTTAATTCAAATCGACAAGCCATATCCAACAACAGTCTTTATATTTGCAGAAGTTATGTTGTAAATGTAGCAGATTTAAGTTGATCAAACCTTGTTCTGCATTTTAATGCTACAGATATCTCAAGAGTAAAAGAAGTAAATACTTTTAATACTGATTCTAATGTGTGTATCAAATGAAGGATACCAGTATTTTTAGACTTGCTTTAAACAACTTGATTTATGAACTATGGCAGATGCTGCTGTCAGTTGACTTGCAGCAAAATGTTGTTGTTTTTTTTTTTTTTTTATACCTGTTTCCGGAAGTACCGGTTCGTTCAATCATTAATCAAAAGTTAGAATTTCAAAATTCAGTGTTTGGAAAACCAAATAGAAGCTCTCCGAAGTATCTCCCAGTTCAAACTAGAAAACTAGAAAACGGCTGTCACCACACAATGTCAAAGTCGCAGGAATCTCCTTTTACTGTGAATGCTTGGAATGGATGTTATTAGCTTGTGCTGCTGATGGAAGCTAGCATCTTAACAATTAGCAAGTCACTCTTCTTCACTGGACTTTCCGGCTTGCAGCTAGAGCACACTCAGATGTAGTGTAACGTTATTCCCAGATCCGACTTAAGCAGCGAGTTGAACACAACATAAGTTTCTTCTTCTTATCATACATGCCTTGATGACCTTCCCCCTTGATCCAGGTCTTCCGTTGAAAATTGTAAAAGAGCTACTATTTTTTTTTTTTTTTTTTTTACTAAAATAAAAAAACTTTAGTAAAAAAAAAAAAAAGTTGGAATGCACTCTGACACTTTGCATGCGGATTGCTAACTTTCTACGCGGTTGAGACATGTTTACTATTTTTCCACAGATGATTCGGTGTTGTCCTACACGCAAACATTTAGCTGTTTTTCTCTGTAAATTTTTGCTGAAACGAAGGCAAAGTCAGTATAATCTCACCAAGAAATTTTCATTACTTAATGAGATGTGTTTGTACTTTAATTTAATGTGTGCATTTTAGATTTATTTTCAGTGATTTAACTTATTTAGGTATTTATTCTACAAAATTGCAATCCCGGCATTTAATGTAATTTTTACCCACCGTATAATGTTTCCCTCTTTGTTTTGTTTTCTGTTTTTTTTTTTCTTCACTTTGTTATAATTATTTTGCAATTGGATGCCTATACAGTTGTGTTCAAAATAATAGCATCTTCAAAAAGGTAAAGTTTAAAATTCTGAGAATATTTTTAGTCAATGCACACAAATGCATAGAAGATACTTCACATTGTATTAAAAAAAATAAAAATAAATAAATATCACCAAAAACACAAATGTGTCAGTCAACAGAAAGGACAAAATTACATTTTTATGTCTTAAGTCTGATATTTACTGTATGAATGAAATAATATCACCGTGCTGCCCTTTGTCCCTAAATAAAGCCCAGTTGTTTGCATTCTTTTATTGATTAAACTTCACAATCTTTTCAATTACTGATTCACTTACAATGAATCAGCAGGATGTTTGTCATGATTGCAGAATCTGTTTATTTTTATTACTTCACTTCGCCCACTGGTAAATAATTTTCCATGGAGAAATCGGCTTTCTTCCAAACGCAGTGATCAATTTGGTTGGTGACGCTGGGCTATTTATTTTGAACACAACTCTACATACGTTAAGTTTTCTGATATAATTTATTCCTTCATTTAATTTTCCTCAGGTAGACCAAAGCTCAAACTGTATCTGGGCTCTTTATTTTCAGTGCAATGAATGCTGCTTGTGTTGAAGATTTTAAACTGGCTTGTTTTGTCTGCAATACAGAGAATAATTGATTTTTTTTTTTTTTTAATAACAGTATGCACACCCAAAGAAAATGGTTATTTTTGCATGTTATAAATCTGGAATGCCTTTATTGCATGGGATAACGGAAACCCCTCGAACCTTGAATGTTGGCCTGCAGCCGAACTGCTTGTCTGCTTTGTTCAATGCCTGTCAACTCACCCTGAAGGGTCTGAAACTGAATTGTGTTGATCTGATCTCGCATTGAACCAGTCATTACCCATCAGCACGAGTCATTATCATGCTGATGGATAGATCATGTTTGAGAATTCAGTTCAATAAATGAAACTGAGCAGGAAGCCTAGAGGGACAAAGAGGATCTCTGGCTTGCTCCGTAATCAGGTGACTGAGGTTACAGGCTGCAACAAAGCAGAAGAAAATGTTTGCAAAGAAAATAAGACAATGTGTGTTTTTCCTTGCATTGATGTTTTTTTTTTTGTATATCTTTAAATTACCTCATTTACCAGGACAATGATGCAAAAAATATTTTTAATAAATGATCCCAATGTAAAAAAAAATAAAAATTATTTCATACCCTTTCTGAGGGATTAACAATCAAGCAATATGTTAAACAGTAAATATGCAATGCTGAATTAAAAATGTATTTATAAATGTTATCTGACTTTTTCCATCCATCCATCCATTTTCTGAACACCCTTGTCCCTCAGTGGGGTCGGGAGGGGTGCTGGTGCCTCTCCAGCTAACGTTCCGGGCGAGAGGCGGGGTACACCCTGGACAGGTCGCCAGTCTGTCGCAGTATCTGACTTTTTCATTTTATATAATTTACTCTGAGGTAAATTTAATAATTAAAAAAAAAAGTTTTGTGATTTAATATTTATGCATCCAATGATTGGTTAAAGGTAACAATTTCTCAGATCTTCTGCTGATGCACCACTATGTTTTCCTGCTCTTTTTACATTCTCGAAATTAAATTTCACGTTTTAGGCTTTTACATTTTAACCTTGCTGTTTACTAGTACCAAGAAAATTGTTCTACTCTTTTGTCATTTGAACGAGATTCCAGAGAATGTGTCCGCATGTTCTCCAGCTGTATTTAGGATAGATTGACACAATGCTCCTCCTGCATAATATGCCGCTGCACACTGCCAGCCAGCCTGCTGAAGGAAGGCTGCCCCACGCTGGTTTTGCTAGTTGTGGTGTGAAAAGGAGTACAATACTTCACCCACATTAACGTAATGCTATTTAATAATTAGCTGCACGATGCTCGTCAAGCAGCCTCTAACAAAAATAGTCTGCCAGCTATCCAATATTAGCTTATAGCACAATAAAAAGTATATTATGTACTTTTTATTCCTTTGGAAATAGTATATTTTTACATACAAATCTCATACTAAGAGTGAGCACCACTCACTTTATTGAAGTGAATCAAAGAAAGCACAATTACTGTTCTCATAGATTAACCATTCAGAATATTTCACAATTTGTTTATTTAAAGAAATTGAAGCACGTCTTAACAAAAATATATGGATCAATATTACATTTACAAAACAGCTATTAACATTTGTACATATAAATAAGATTTGAATGCAGTCCTATTGAGTCACACCATAAAAAGTTAAAAGAAAAAAAAAAGTCTTTAAGTTCAAAGTGAAATTCTACAAAGTGAGGTCCACAAGTAAGAATCTGAGCCTCAACTTTGAAATAACACCAATTTCTATACCGATTCTGTCTTGGCACAAAGACAACTGGTTTTATTAATAAAAAAAACCCTAATTTTATTCCCATTATCAAAAAACTACTCAACAAAAGTTATGACCTTCATGTACAACCATGGAAACACATTGTAGGTCTTTAAAATTTGCTGTATTTGGCAACAGTTTGAAGGATTCATCCATGGTCTACCCGCCTATTCATGCAGCATGGCGGGGGCGGTTAGTGCCCACCTCCTGACCTCCTTAGGCCAGAGGCGGGACAGTTCACCAGTCCATCACAGGGCGACAGTAACACACAAGACAAACAAACATGCATGCACACACTCATACCCAAGGACAGTTTTAGGAAAAAAACAAACAGCCATGAGGAAGCTGGAGTTTTGGAGAAAACCCACACGGAGGGAAAACATGCAAGCTGTGTGCAGAAAGAACCCTCTCTGGGATTCAAACCTGGGTCCTCATGTTGCAAGGCAACAGTCATAACTGTAATAGCTTAAAAATGTCAGATCAAGACATCGACGAGTTTTCAATTTAAATTAGTAATGTTAAAAACGGGGCACACATTTATGGAAGACATTTTCTTTATCTACACAGTGCCAGTGAGTTAAAAGATGATCAAACCCATAGATCAAGCTGCCAATAAATCTGAATATCAGTGAAAATTAATCTTGTTGACTTATGCTAAACTGATGGAGAAATTAATACAAACAAAACTCTGATCAAATATTGACTGCACTTTAAAATCCACCTACATTTTCAGTAGGTGGATATTAAAAGGATTAGAAATCTTATTTTAAAGTTGTAATATTCAATTTCTGAGAAACTTGTGTTTTGATTAGCTGTAAGCCATAACTGTGAAGATGAACAGAAATGCTTGAAATACATCATAGCGCTTTCTGTAATGAATCTATATGAGCTCCTATATTAAACTATTTAAATTCATAATTCAATGATATTTAAAATTAGTGAGCTGTAACCATCATTTTGAGCAACTCCACAGATGTGGACATAACCTTTGAAAAACTCCCCAACGAGGCCTTCATATGCTTGAAATTATTATTTAAATTAATGTAGACTTTACACAATTATTATGCAAGTAATTATTTTGACAGTTTTACTTTTATACACTTTTTCCACCTTCAAACTGTATTGCTTATTGAATGCTAGTATGTAAGGTGATTCGTATGTCTGTAATTAAGGAGCATGTTCTTCTTCAGCGCCGTCTGAAACGGTACAGATAAGAGCGTCCAGCAAATTTGAAGAATTTTTTTTTTTTTTTTTTATGCAGGATGATGCTTCACTGCTATGCGGCTAACTGACAAATGTCATAAAGATAAAAATAATAATATGGCTTTCTTCCTCACCTAAACTAAACACTTAAAAATCTTGGGGGCTCTTATGTCATTACTGATAATTAATAAATTGAATAGAAAATATTCTAATTTAGATATTTCTAGACTAACAGTTGTCCATTACTTTTGCCCTTTTAGTCTCTGAAGTACTCAGGTTTGTAACTATGCAATTATAACTTGCATAATAATTGTAACTAGTACAAATTAATTTAAATAAAATCAAAATCAGAGTTTGTTGTTTGATTAAATGTAATACAAGTACATAAGCTGCATCCTTTAAATTATTGCTCGATTCAGGATCAACTTACACATTTTGTTGCTGATCTCCTGCTGTGGATATGGAAACGAGACAAAAGAAAACAATAATTCACAGCTCGTCTTCAAACACAATCGGTTTATGAATGGAGTTAAGTGGTTTTGTGCCATGATGTTCTGATCAGTGAACCAACGAGGCTAACTCTCATCGTCTGAATCAAAACCAAACAGGGAGGAGCAGGTGTTGCGGCCTTCGTGCGTTTGTAATTCCTCCAGTGTGCTGAAGGAGGACAGACATTTGCCGCAGCGATGTCGGACCTTCTGGTCCGGGACGACCACGTTCTCCTTTGCCTTTTCTGCAGCCAGCTCTCTCATCTTCTTCTTGTTGACATATTTTTTTACAGACTGCTGATCAGCGGAACTCCTCTTCCGCATTGAAAGCACTGATTCGTCCAAGTAGGTGGAGGGCGGCGGTCGGACAAAGGGGGTTTTTACGAACTGGGCATAGGCGGGATCTTCGGGTTTGAAGGTCTTGTGCTCCGTGATGTGCGGCTCTGCTATGTTCTTCTGGACTCCCTCAGCCAGAGTGGAGACATCTTGGTACTCTCTGATATTTATGACGTCCCAGTTGATCGGTTTTTTTTGAGGTTTCTTTTTAGGGGTTTTCGCAGCACCAGTTGCAGCCTTGGATTCCTCTGGGTCAAGTTTTGTCGCTTCCTCAAATCCATTGATTGAGGGTTTATCTTCTACGATTTCAGGGCTAAATGTTGTTGCTGTTGGACAGTTATCATATGTAGCTAAATCCTGGATGTTGTCTAGGCTAGTTTCCTCGTCTTCAGTTTTGATTTTTTCAGGAGTAGGACTCATTTGGCTTTGGGACTTTTTATTCTGAAGCCAAATTTCTTCAATTTTTACCCTCTGCTTCCATGGAGCTTCTTTGCTCACCTCGTCTTTCGGGTTGGCTCCAAGGTCGAGCTCTTTCCTCTGTGGCACCGGGATGTAATGTCTCCATTCGTGGTCGGAAAGACCCTGAAAACATGAGAAGAGCTTCTCACAGTCTGGGAATGAACACTGAGGTCTGAAGGGCTGGTGGGTGTTGATGTGGTCCTTTAACTCTGGCTGTGTTGCAAAGCGCTGTTTACAGTCTAGGTGGTAGCAGAAGAACGGCAGAGGATCATCGTGGAGCTTCATGTGGTGCTTATACTGATCCAGGAACTGCATGTGCCTGTCAGAGGAAACAGAGGTTTCAAAAAGTCCTTAAACACAACAGTGAGGTCTGGAAATGTTTCGTATGTGACGTCTGAAGATCTGAAAGTGAAGAATAAAGATTGTGCCCAATGGAGTTTACCTCAAATAAATTAAATTTTTCATAAACACAATACTGTGAAAAACAGCTCTTAAATTTCACATTTTGTCATCTTTGTATAATTTATTAATTGTTTCCACACAAATTTCAATGTTAGAGATAAAAATGCTTTTCTTTATTAAGGGAAAATACCTATCCACATCAATCTGGCCCTATGATGTTTTCTGCCAAAAAAAAAGAATTAGTGTTTTGTTTTTTGTTTTTAGAAAACAAACTGTTAAGAAACTAATCTGTTAATTTGCATGATAACAAATTTAGATCTTTTGTTTTTTAAACTAGAACTTTTTGATTTTGGTTCTTACCTGACACAGAAGCAGCACTTGTGTTTGGACCAAATGTAAGTCTTCTCCAGAACCTTCTCTTCACCAAGATGGCATTTGATGGCATGCCTCGTCAGCGAGCTGTTCAGTTTCAAGAAAACTCGATCGCAGACGTCTGACGGGCACAAGGGATACGTGTAATCCACACTGCAACCGTTCTCCCCCACTGGGGTCTCCTGGCCCTCTCCCCCCTCCTCCTCCTTTATCGAAGCCACATTCTTTATTATCACCAGACCGTCTGTAATGACAACTTGCTCATCTGTGAATTCAATCTGGTTAATCTCTGCGCTCGGGTTTTTGCTTCTTTTATTAAACATAGCCGTCTTTTTGAGCAAGACGCGGATATTTCTGATGATCCGTTCCTCCCTGTTCAGGATCAACACCTGCTTTTTGGATTTGGATTTAGGTTTCTGTTCAGAAGTTTCGCTTTCGGCGACGGGCATCTCGATTTCTTTATCGGGCGGGTGCTCTTTTTCCACGATTCCATTAGTAGGTGGATTCTCCTGCATTTGCTCCACGTTTGGTTTGTGATTTGACATTTCATTAATGTGTTCGAGAATATGCTTTTTGGCCAAAGGCAGAAGCTTGAAGCGTTTCCCACAGAGAATGCATTTTAGTTTCCTATTCTTTAAATGTGAGAATGCGTGCCTCATCACATTCAAACCCTTGAACGTTTTACGGCAGATCTTGCAGGTATAACTTAAGTGGCCGTACTGTTGAGTCCGCAGCAATTTCTCCCGCCATGTTTTTATGGGTTTTATCTGGACAAAGACACAAAGAAGCAAAACGTAGAGGGCAATTATAATCTTATACAAAACAATATGAGAAGCTGCTGCATCATCAAAACATTTTTATCTGATTTTGCTCAATTTTCGCCCAACAGCACACAAAACAAGCCGTATAATATACACCAATGGACAAATTGATACAATTGCGGTTTTCTGTATCAGTCTGCGTCTTCACCAATGGATACCACCGGTTCATACTCACTCACTGAAATTTCATTCTTACATTTCCTACCTCAAAACAAACCACTAAGATTCCAATTGGAGATTCCATATTTTCTATACAGGGAAAGTCTTAGAAGTATTCAAATTTTAAACTTAATTTTATATTCATTTCTACAAAAAAATTTCCATTACTTTTGCTGATAAAATAAGACAAATTATGCCCTCTGACCAAATCGGAACAACTCAGAGCGACCACCACATCATAAAACAACATTTCCTTACGGTAGACAATAAGTAGAAAGAAAGAAAACAAAAACTACTTCATCAGCGCTCAAAGCGGGTATCCACACTTAATGTGGCAGAAAGCTCGGTTTTGCTCTTGCAGGTGGTCGAGTACCTCATGCAGTAAACTCTCTCCAGCGGGAGTCAGACCCGTTTCCTCCAAGCTCAGATTGTAAATGAGCCTCACAAGCAAAAAGCTTGAATTGGCTCCAGTCAGGGCAGAAAATAAAGAGCCGTCTTTTCAGAAAATAAACGACTGGGTTTCTGTTTCTCTGCACAACAAAAGCAATGCTAATTGTTTCACTAAAACTTCATTAGAAATGTAGGTTTTTAAGTTCGTAAGACCAAAGGCTTAGACACTAAATTTTAATATTTATGAAAGTAATGTGATTTCATAATCAAGCGAATCCATGTCAAATTCATGGGAAAAATATCAAATGAAAGCGATAGATTAAAAAAATAATAATAAAAATCAACATAGGAATGGTCAACTAGTCAAAATTAACTGCTCTTCAAGCATAAAGTAATCTTATCCTGCACGATGTTGATTTCTGATTTTCTCATCTGACCTGTAGATTTTGACCGATTCAAAACAAAAGAAGAAAATGTTTATTTGATAGAATAAATTAAAAAGAAAAAGTAGAGACTTCTAGATCATCCTGATAGACACAAAGCATCTGATGCCAACCATCTAATTTTTATTACATTCACAGTGAAAGCTGTTAATTGATGAACTAAAGTGAGAAATTAGATCTCATCAGAATCTAGCCTGCCTGTCACAAAATCAGAGCTGATGAAGGGCAAAACAGAACCGAGTGACTTTTGAATCTCTATTACAAAGTTATTATTTAGATTTCCAAAACTGGCAGCAATGTGGAGTGATGCAGAGTTACGGTAACGATACCCTATTATTAGAACAAGTAAATAAAAAAACTGACCTCAGTTTCTGGTTCTTCTGTTTCCACGTCGGACACCTGCTTTATGTTACCATTAACCTCATCAGATGGCTTCAGTTCTGGAGGTTTTGGTTCTTCACCTTCAGCATCTCTAGACAGGAGGGAGTAACTGTGTAGCAACTCAACTGGATTATCCAATAACTCAAAGACGGGACCATCGAGCTCGGGGTCAGCTTCGACAGCAACGGCAGCAGCAGCTTGGGGCTCGCTCGGTAGATCTTCACAAAGTTTCGATTCCAAACATGTTTGAGGTTGTTCACCGAGACTGGAACCAATAACCATACTTGAGTCTTTGTTGTTTTCCATAAGTTCATTCAGATGCTGAACTACCTCTTCCGTGTGTTTACCAAAGCTTGAAGGGATATCATCCAAATCAGGTACAACTTCCCGTTTGTCTTCTGTTTCCGTTTCCACCTCAACTCCACATGTATCCTCTGTGAGGTGAAGTTCATTATCAGGGAAAGATAACTCCAGCTTCGGTAAAGGCTTCCTTCCTCGCTTTTTACCACCAACTCTGATAACCGTAAACGTCTGGACTTGCTCCGTCTTTGGAAGACCCTGCAACCATCTCTTCTTCCGACCCCTTCTTTTAAAAATCTGGTTCTTAACACTTCGGGACAAGCATTCTCTCTTGTGGTTTGAAGGAAGTATCACAGAGGCAGAGTTCCCCACTTTTATTTGGGTGCATCTCAGAGAGTACATGGGTTTACTACTCAGAGAAGTGGGTTTGAGATTGTATTTAAATTCCGGATCATCAACAAAGTCAAGCTCATCGTCTGACAAAGGTTGCTTCAATCTCTTCCATTTCCTCCTCCTTAGATGAACATGGCCTCCTGGAACACACTTCGTTTCTGATTTAACCACAACCGGGATAACAGGAAGGCCTTCGCTCTCAGTTGGACCTGGCATGCTGAGGCATGAATTGAGACAGAGGGTGCACGACTCATTCACGCAGTTATTCGGTAAGAGATATTCACTAGATTCCTTTTCCTCTTCCGCCTTCATCTCGTCGAGAACGGCGTCCTTCATGACCTTATCGCTGATCAACTCTAAGCAGTGAGTCCTGAGTGTGAGCAGGTTCCAAAACTCAGGGTCAAAGCACAGCCGCTCTTTCAGCATCTGGAAAGGGAGAGATATTGTTAAAACGTCTTAATTACAAATATTTTGCAATTTGTTCTTTTAATTATATTTGCTGTAATTAAAAAAAAATATTCCAATCTTACAGTTTTCAAATGATGAATTTATTCACTGAGGAGAAAAAAAAAACTTGATGGCTGGAAGAGGCCAAATGGGTCAAACCGTTTGTGGTACCTTGCAATAAGACTAACATCGATGCAGAGCGACTTTCACCAATTGTTCTTTGCAGCAATAATCTCAAATCAGTCACATTCCAAGGGTTTTTGAAAACAAACCTGATACTTCAAACTTTAAGAATATTTTTGAAACTTTGAGAGGCAGATGTGACGTCTTGCTTCGTTTCACTGTAATGCAGCGTAACTCAAGTGTCCTTGAGCCAACGCCGAGTCTGACTTGTCTCGGAAGAAAGAGCAATGAACTGGGAATGGCATCACACCCGAGTTGTCACACTCACCTGTTATTGCTAGAAGTCAGAAAACAGTAGGATTTTCCATTTGCTCTAGTGCAAACTATTGTTAGTAATACAATTTAATGATATATTTCTCTCCATTTTATGCATTCAAAACACAAACATCAGCATCATGATGAAAAGGAAACATGATGTGCGCTCAACTTTCCTACTGGACAGCTACATTGACCGTAGATTCAGAAAACTCAGGGGACCAACACAACATGGCACCGCAAACCATCACTGCCAGCAACGTGGAGTATGTGCCTCTCCACTCTGCCTCCAAATGAAACGTTAACTTTAGTTTTAGCTGAAAAGAACCACTATGCAAAAGCCCAGTTCTTTCTCTCCTTAACCCAGGTAGGACGAGGAACGTGGCTCCTGACTCCGGCCTCCGTGAACTGCGCTTGAAGCTCCCCCAAATTCTTAAAAAGAAGTTTCTTTACATTCCTTTCAAGGCTGCATCTACTGATGCACCTTCTCCCAACACATTTTTTGAGTTAATAAGCTGATTAGAGTTTAATATTTAACTTTTTCACAAGATTAAAATGTTCTGAAACAAAACTTTGCATTTTTATCATCTTTAACCATAATTATCAAAACTACAAGAAACAAAGGCTTGATATATTTCAGCCTGTGTGTAATGAACCCATTTATGAAGTGAGTAAAAAAAAAAAAAATACTGTACTTTCTGAAAATGCCATAATGCCTTTAGATGCATGTCTTGTTATTAATATTTTAGATACTAACCTGCAGAATATGGAAGCGAACATTGGTCCGGAGAGGGTTGTTGTGAGGATGTTGCTCCTGATCTGGATGCCTGTAAAGAAGACACACAGTCCGGTACGCCTCCAGGCTTCGCTCCTGGCAAAAGACCAGCAGGGAACACGCGCGACAGATCTCCAGGTCATGAGGCAGCAGGAAGGCAATGGTCTTGCAGACAAGTGAGCGGGTTACAGTGTCACTCTGCATATCACAGAGCTGCAATGCCCTGCCACAGAGCTCCACAGCAACCTCAACTCCCTCACCGCCAAGCTATACAAATGAGAAGAAACACCAGTGGAAAAAAGATGAGCCCAACGTTGAGTAAGAAAATCAAATGAGTGAGGACAAGATGGAAGACTGTCAAAACTTTGTGTGAAAGTGTGGTGAGAATTAAAAAGACTGGGGGGGGGGAATGAAATGGTCCTTACGGCTCTAAGCTGATGATGAGTTGACATTATTACCTCAGTGAGCAGCTTGATGAAGGGGAAGATGGCTCTGACGTTGGTGGCAGATGAAGCGAGTTCTGAGCACTCAGCCAGGAAGCCTTGACGGGAGGGATAGGCCCTCAGATGCAATCTGCTCCAGATAAAGACGAGGTCCCTGCAGGAAGGTGAACATGGTCAACTACATCTACTCCAGGTTCGCAGCCATGGACACACATGGCTACATATTTACAAATTAGCCTCATCGTACAGCTTATAGCACTTTGAGATTTTATCCTCAAATCATGGCAGTCAAAGAGAACATTCTAAAATGTGTAAGCCCACTTCCTACCAACAGACCAGAGCAAGTTCAACAACATATTGGCAGTGAATATTATAGAAGGATTGTTGTTTGACTGTTAATGTGTTACCAATGAACAACTACGACGAAACCTCAAAGTTATGTATATATATAAAAAAAAAAGGATCTGCTAATAAAAAAGTAATCCAACATGCAAGTATTTAATACTTCTTTCTGCTGGTGTCAGATTGAAGAGAGGACACGTTAATTTGCCAGAACATCAAAGCAGCAACAACTGTGGAAAATCAGAAGCTCCTACGAATTTTGAAATCTGAATATTAAAAATATTTTCAATGAATTTATCAACAGAGAGTTTATGGCTAATTTTCAAGGGACGAAATGCCTTGTTGATGCTCTACATTACATGTCTAAGAATGTCACACTTACCATATGTAATACATGTCCCCTTTGTGCAACTGCCGAGTGAGGAAAGCTTTACACAGCGACAACAAAAGCTCGTCTTTTTCCACGCTCTCAGTGTTGCAGATTATCTCGACTGCATCACGGCCGTCTATTTCTGCCATCTGGGGAGCAAAAAAAACATCGCATCATAAATGTACAGTCATAGCCGATAACACTAAAATGTGTCATTTGTATTGGAATGCAGAGAAACAAACTTCTCTGCTGGAGAAACTGCTGAAATATACTTAAAATATTTTGAGTAATAAATACAAAATAAAAGGTAGACATTTCAGGCAAATAAAGGAAAACACACACACACACACACACACACACACACACACACACACACACACAAAAAAAACAAAAAAAAAAAAACAAAGAGTTTTTGCCATTATTAACTGCTTCAAAGTGCAACAACAGCCTTACCTCCTTCTGAAGGTTTTCATACAGAGAGGCCTTGTAGAGGCACGTCAGGTAGGCCTGATGGAAGTAAAGATGCTTCCCAGTCTCCTGGTTTTCCAGACAGCTTTTAGAAAGAGCCATGGCCTCCTGCATCCGCTCACAGGCCTGCAGATATCGAACGCGCAGCTCCAAAAAGATAGGCAATTCTGTACTGAAGTAGTCATCAACTGCACAGACGGAGAGCACATCAGTTAGACGGACTGTTTCTGTAACGCTGCAAGCCAACAAACCTCAACCAAAATGACACCCGATCCTGCTAAAATTTAACTAGATGTCAATAATTTTACAGATCCAACTTTTTTTTTTTTTTTTTTTTGTAAAATACAGTCCATTAGACAACATCCAGGTCAACAGACGTCTTTAATATAGTCAAGTTTTCATATACTCTGAATAGTACAAAATATCTCTTGACATCAAAAGAAACAGACAGAAGAAACTGCAGAATCATTGCTATTAATGAGCGAGAAGAGCAGGACTTGTCAATGCCAGTATAATAATAAAATATAGCATTTTATTATGCTGCACTTCAAAGCCAAAGACTGTGAGCATATGAAGCTCGTTGACTTTAATGTAGGACCAGGCTGGAGGAAATGCTTCATCTTGGCTATAAAAAGTTTTAAATGGGCATATCACTAATTAAAGCAGCATCTTTTCCCAGTAACGACCACCATTGCCCCAGTAATTTATGTTAACTGAGAAAATCTATCAAGGTCAGTCAACAGTTTGATTAGAGTCATTTTTTTTAAAACATTATTTCACTTTCTAATGCAGTGTACGTCTACCTTCACTCTGTGGCACTTCTCCCTCTTTCAGAATTCTCTGCAACACCGAATTCTCCCACGGACCTCCACCTTTGATAACCTGCTTCACATGATGAAGATAGATGTTCCTGTGCCTCAAAAGTTTCAAGTGGCATTCCTACAACAAAAACAAAAATCACTATAAGTCAGAGCACTACTCAGTTTCATTTAAAAAGTTAGATAAGCTTTTGGAAAGTTCACATGTGAAAAGTTTTTCATAGTTTAAGTCGGTTGTGTTGTTGAATGCTTGAAAAGAAGTGGCTGAAGCTGGATGCTCTGGCTATTTACAGTGTGCAATAGCCAGAGCAATTGAGCAAATAAAGTAATCAGACGTTTCGATACCTGAAAACAATCAAGGATGTTTTTCAAAGGCTCCTCCACAAATTCCTCCCTGCTAAAGAACAGCATCAGCTCAAAGAAGCTCCTGCAAGAGAAAAGGACTGACATAAGGCCAACAATACGAATAACAACCCACCTCAGCTTAGTTCATAGTTTGCACATTCCTCTGAATTTCAGTATACCAACTTTAATAACTGCAGTGTGTTTTTTTCTTATGCAATAAAGTTGCCCTTACAATACAGTCTTTTATTTAGCTTTTTGTTGATACGTTTTAACATCTGAAGGCCTAAACTGGCCTGTCACTGAAACATGAACCTTCCAATAATGTCCATGGATTTCACATGGACAGTAATTTCTTGTAGTGACAGTATCTGAAACAGATTCCAACGGTACTCACAAGGCCAGACTGCTGAGGACATACTGGACGTGCTGACAGTCATCAGGAAAGGCAGATGTGGCTTTGGTAAAATTGCAGAGAGCAGTCCGCAGCACCTTGAGTTGAGGCAGAGGAACATGCCACTGGGCTGTGTACTCCTCCACCAACTGTGCAGGAAGAACAAAGGTAATTAATCCACACCAAAAACACAGAAATGCCCGATAAGTTAACTTCAGTTACCATCTCTTTGGTATTCTTTCCTAGGTCTAACATTTCTCCAGGAATATCTCGTAAACATTGACATACAGTGCAGGATTATGTTTGTGCATAAGCATGCAAACACATACGATTTATCACAGGCACATGGTGTACCACTGATCAAAATATCATCTAATAAAATAAAATGACATGAAGTGCAATTAAGTGTGCAACTTCAAAGTTGTTTCTTTTTCCCAAACATGTGGCGTGTCTCTATTGTAGCACTGTAATAAATCACAAAGAACATCACATTTGTCGTTACTGACTGAAGGAAACCTGGTGCCTTCGGCTTGGGGAAAGATACTGAATATTTCGTTTCCGGTGATATTTGAAATATAAAGCTCTGATTTTGGATCTTCTTGACTTTATTAATAATGACAGGTAACGTCAACTCATAACGTTCACCACGCTGTGTACACACAAACCTTGTTTCGCTTCTCAGTCTCACTATTCTGTTAGCTTAGCTTAACTGAAAAGCTACACAGTTAAGCAATTTTCAAACATCAAATAATTAACACTGTTTTTTATACAGTTTCAAAGGCACACTTCTGTTTTTATCTTTAGGAACTCGCTATTCGTGTGAGTTCCTGATTACCTATGGCGACACAACTGCATAAATAGAGCTAGTCTGGAGGCTATCGGGAGCTACAAAAGCTAGGAATGTTAGCACAAAACAAACTCTAATTTTGTCGAAACAGTTTTTTCCAACACACCTCACAAAACTCAGAGCAGTAGTCCTTGCTGTTTAGAGACGATTCGTCCCTGCAGTGTCTAAGACACAGTGAATCCAGAGCTAATTCAAGCCCGTCAGTTTCCAAATCACTTTCGTTGTCCGCCATACTGTATGCTTTATCCAGCGCATAGACAAGGTTGCCAGGTTTGTCCCACATTATCCACCGCATGAGCGTTTCTTATAGAGGCACTGCGAATCTGGCAACCGACTTTATTGCGAAAATGCTGATTAAACAATTAAGTGGTAAAATATTTTGAACATTTGTTAGAACTGTTAATTTTCAAATTTTAGGTAATCGTTTTATTCTAAGAAACAACATAAAGCCTTTATAAGTGAATAAACTAAAATGTTGATAACACATGACTACTCACGCATACTACATTTTTTTCAAAACTGAGGTTTGGTTTTGTGATCTACAGGTGAACATTCACCCCATTGTGTGCTTGAAAGTTACAACCCATGTATTCTTGTATACTTTCCATATGCATCAAACAGGAGACCGGCCACTGTTAAAATACAGTATGCATTGAAATATGGGTTGCAGCAGTGGTACTGAAGGTTGCAGCACCCAAGGAGGATGCAGATATGAGGGAGGACAAAACAGTTCCAAAAAAGAGAGAGAGAAATTAAGATGAGGAAGTACCTTTCTTTTCCTTAGCAAAAAGATCCCTTGGGATGAGATGTAAGACTTCACTTAGGATGCAGATGCAAATTAAAGCAGAAAGAGGTAATCGCCAATGTTCTTTTTATATTGGGTTTTAAAATACAAATGTTTCTGAATAAATGAGACAGGTTTTGTCCTTTAGTGTAACATTTTAACTGTTCACTTTAATACGGGTAAGATCTGGGAAAAAAAGGTCTTTATGACCACAATGTATTGCTACTAAAAATGGAAAAGATAAAATTCCAAAATAATAATAAGACCTTAAAATTTTTTTAAAGTTTCCAAAAAAATATTGCATTTGGGCCATTATTGAATTCACTGATTCAATTACTGTGCTTGCAGGTTAGTTTATTGATCTTTTAAAAAACACACCTGAAAAATATAAGCAAATTGTATATATGTATGAATATATATATAACGTTTATATATTATGGAACAAGTTGTAAATTTATATCCTTGTGGAGACTCAGGTAAATCGAAGGAAGTACTTTGTTACCTGCTTATTGATTTGAACTAAAGCAATTCCAAATAGGCAAAAGAGGGTGAGATTGACAGTTTTTGTAGGTCAAAATTACAGAATGGAATCAACAGGAAATCACTAAACATGGATCTAATGTGGTCACTATGTAATGTGTAGGTGGGAGAAAAATAAAAAAAAGAATTGATTTCTTCCCCTTGAAAATGTCCCTAAAGATCAGGGGAAAAAACGACTATTAAAAGTCAGAAAGGAAGCAAAATTTCAACTGCCTTTATTTATTTTGATGAAGGAAGATAAATGAACCATATCACACAAATGTATTCATACATCTTTCTTTAGCAGCAAAGTTGCAGGTCATCACAACCGAGTGGGACGTCTAAATTCTCTCTCTTAGCCACAAGAGGGCGCCTTTGCACAATAATTTGAAACATTCTGTTAAATCACAATCTGTCAGCAGACTGAATACAGTTCACCGGTGAAAAATCATTATTATTCCTGTACAGCTCTCTCCATACATACAATGATACATTTATATTATCTCTTAACAACATATTTCCTGTTGTGCAATCTAGGTTTTTGTCTTCTTTTTTTGTAATTCAGACATGGACACTGCAAAAGAAATGTATGGTCACACTGGAAAAGATGTAAGCAACCATATTCCACACCTATTCTTATCTTATTTCAGTGGCATACAGTACACCCTCATTCTTGACTCATCCACAATCATTCCTAACATATCACGTACTGTCTTCAAGATGGTAAAATATAGGAGTCCTATTCCAAGTATTTGAGTGGGAGTAATATAATGAGGAATTCTACGCCAGTAACTCTGAGGCTTGATTAACCCTGTGCTGGCTACGGTGTGAAAGTTAAGCAAGCTGGGTTGTTTACAGTTTTCAGGGAAATAAAATTAAATAAATAAAATTAAAAATATCTGGGAAAACAGAATATGAAACGCTGCAGATGTTAGTCTAAAAAAAAAAAAAAAAACGGCAGTTTCTTACATAAATGGCAAGCTTACGTCATAAAGTTTATAAACAATTACTTACACACAGATTTCATATAACTGATGCTTGACTCAAAGGCTCCTTAAAAGAAAGGCATGGAAATCGGACTTAGCCGGGGGGAATGCTTTCTGTTTGAACAAGCAGATGTTCTGTCAGTTTTCTAGTTTTACTCACATTGACAGGCGAGGTTTTATGGCAGTTTTAGCTGTTTGTGAGCAGAGTTCAGACAAACATTTATTTGAAAAAATATTATAAAAGGAGCAAATAAGTAGCATAGAAAATTTTGTAATGAGCAGATATTACCTTGAGCCGGGGCTGCCTGGTTAGCTCAGGGATGCACCCTTGGGTTTCATGCATTCTCAACATGTTCACCTGCCTCTCTTGTTCTAGTATTTGCCCAGCAAGTAGTGATCCACTATTACTGGTCCCTGTAAGACTTGGATTTTATCTAAGCACGTACTTTTTTTTTTTTTACTTCACATAAAGTCAATTTACAGCCAAAAGGTTTGCAAAGCTCATAGATCTATTTGTTCTTAGTTTTTTTTTTTCTGCATTGTTTACCTTTTTCTTTCCTAAAATTGAAATTGCATTATATGGAAAGCAGTCTTGACTTGAGTTTAAGGACATAGTGATGATCTCATTCTCGTAGCCTTCTGCAGTTCTTTGTCTGGAGCCTAAAATCATTTCTTTTGGCACAGTGATATCATCTTCAGCCTTCATCGTTGAACTCAAAGATCAAGACTCTATATAAATAACGTAACCTCACTATGTCATATTTAGACTTTTATGCTTGAGTTTGCAGTTCACAGATGGTGTAATTTCAGATAGAACACCAATGACATGAGGTACATGCATTAATAATTCACTGAAATATGCTACCACACCTGCTGCACTGTGATACAGCTGTTAGCATTGTTGCCTTGCAGCAAGAGGGTTGTGGGATACAATCCCATTGTGGCCTTTTGGAATGGAGTTTGTGTGTTTTCCGTGTGCTTGGGCTCTTTCCTCCCACATATGGACACATGACTGTTGGATTGATTTATCTCTCTACATTGCCATCAATCACGAATGTGGGAATACAAGGTTGGTTGTACTTTTTTGCCTCTGTGCTGCCTTGTGATCAATTTGCCACCAGTCCAGGCTATACATGGGTTCTTGCTCATTGACTGCAGGAGCTGAGTACCACCCCTCCTTCACGACCTATTAAGCTGGTGTTTAAAAAAGTGAGATGGCACTGATGCTTAGGTTTAAAAAAAAGTACCCACTGTCATGGAAACAACTGGCCAAGTCATAAAATCAAAGAGTCATGGTTCTCTTTTGGAAACTAGTGCTGTTGATAAGGTGCATATCTTTAACCCCCGTCTTAACAATGGAAGTTTTTGCTGGCCTGACTCATCTGCTCAATCTAAAACAAGTGCCACAACATATTAATACGTAGTCTTAGATGTGTCAATGCTAACAATAAAAAAAGAGAATACAATGTAAATACTGTCCCAGTGTTTAGAATGGTTAATTGAAAAAGGGTTTTGCTGTAAGCTTTCTTATTTTGAAAAAGAATCGTGTGGACAAAGTCTCAGAGGGACAGATACAAGGAAAGCTGTAGTTTCATTTCAGGTAAGTAAGATTTGGCAATCCTGATTTAAGTTGAGAGACTTAGGGATGGAAATAATAGAAGTGGTATACTGCAATTTTTATGCAGAAAAATATATGGGCCGAGTCTTCAACCACAATTCAACTTATTCAGCAAAATTATTTTTCATACTTATTACAGCTCAGTTCATTATTCCAAAGAGGAAAAAAAATAAAAAACACAACAATTAAATGCCTCTGTGTAATGAAAACAGCTGGTGCCCCGCGGATTGACAGTCTTGCAGACGGATGGAGCAGATGTGCTGAAATCCACATTCGCCCTCACGAGTATGACTCAAAAATACAGTCTAACAGTTAGATGTCTAATCAATTTATCTGATGCTGCTTTCAGGTGTCTGAAGATGCCAGACCTCAAAGGTCTTATTGCCTTTAAATTCTTAAAGTATTAGTACCTACCATAAATAGCTTCATTGGGGCATCCATAGTTCTGAAAGCAGAGAATTACCCTTCAAATACTTTACAAACATTATCTAAAGGTTAACCTTGTCTGTTTAAAAACGCAGGATGTTGAGATGCAGCATAGTGAAGTTTATAAAACCCATAGAATATTTCCATAACTTTAAGACATTTAAATTATTAAAGTCAGAACAACATGTTCAAATTTGTTCAAAGGTTTTGCAGAACAAATATAACACAGTGAAAGTGAGAAAAAAAGTTGTTGTTTTTTTAATACCATGACCACATAAAACAATGACTTGGTAATTTGTGGTATTTTACACATGACACATTTTAGCCAGCAGTGTCCAGCTGACAAAAGTGAATTTATTAGATGGATCGGACATGATGGTCAGCTATTTATAGACCTTTAAATAGGGCTAATCTCTAATGCTCAGAACCCAGACCTCAGAAATGTCAGCAGTTGCCTTATATTTCAAAACCAACATGTCAGCGTCCTTTCACACACACCAATTAACATTAGGGAGATATTGGGCTACTCTATAAATAGCACAGGCTGGACTTCAGTGTTGAACTTTAAACCAATACCCATCAGTGAGATGGGGTGCCATTTAGTTGGTTGAAGTGGTTAACATCAATTCTGAAAATGGGAATTGGTCTTTTTTTTCTTATTTCCTTTTCCTCTTGGTATATTGATGTAGTGTCCCGTTAGTATTCTCTGATTGAAGCCGCTACTTTTGTTCTCTTTTTGTTATATATGTTTGTTAAATGGTGTGTGAGCTTGATCATGCATGACTAAGCATCAGAGGTAATGACTGCATCTAATAAGTTTCTGGAAAGCTTTCTTAAAGTCCTCATTAAAGATGGTGTAGATGAGGGGGTTGATCAGAGAGTTAAGGTAGCCCAGCCATGTAAGAAAATCTGCCATTTCGATAGAAGTGTTGCATGAACCACATGTGTTGACGATCACCTCCTTGACAAAAAATGGCAGCCAGCAGATAACAAAGGCCCCTATTATTAACCCCAGAGTGGATGCCGCCTTTCGTTCCCGTGAGCCTGAAATTCGGGGCGCTTGGTAAATTTGGCTTCGACGCGACTCGCTCCTCGAGTCATGCCTGTGTGACTTGCTTTGGGAAACCTTTTTGGAGGCTCGCACCCGTTCACGTTGCGTTTCCTCAGTAGAAGGCTCAGAGAAGGACTTTTCCGGTGGGCTTATGGGCTCTGGACTCCGAGGACCACCGTCGCCATCGCTGTCTCCAGCAGGATAGGATGAAGGAATCATGCTCCCGTTGGTCATGCATGAGTGACGGCTAGCCCTGCTAGCCTCTCTGCGCATGTAAAGTGTCTGAGCGGCCTTGTAGATTTTGTAGTAGAGGATCAGAATGAGCATCAGAGGAATATAAAACGCTCCAAGTGTGGAATAAAGAGTGAAAGCCATGTGGTGGTGGATGATGATGCATTGATCCTTATGCTCTTCGTCATCGCTGTAGTGTCGCCAGAGTAGCGGAGGAAGTGAAATGAGAATGGACAAGAGCCACACTACTGCCACCATGGCACCAGCCCTGGCTCCTGTACGCTTGCGTGAATACTCCACAGCATCCGTGATGGCCCTGTAGCGGTCAATGGCAATTGTGGCGAGATGAAGAATTGAGCAGGTACAGCACGCAATGTCTATGCTCAACCAAATGGTGCACACCACCTCGCCCATGATCCATTTTTCATTCTGGATGTAGATTATGCTGAAGGGCATGACCAGCACAGCCACCAACAGGTCAGTCACCGCTAACGAGCAGATGAGGTAGTTGGCTGGGTGATGTAGCTTGCGAGTGACAGCAATAGCTGTGATCACCAGACAGTTAAAGAATGTAGTTAGTACGGCAACAACAGAAAGGGTTATTGTTAGTAGGATTTTACTGGGAGGGAGTGTTGCGGTCTCAAAGGAGTCATAACTGCTGCTGTTTGTGGCGAAGGCTCCTTCGGTCCAATTAAAGAAATCCATTCTGCAAAATCAAATGGAAAAAAAGAGTCCGACATTAGGCATACAATGAAGAACGGTAAAAAAAAAAAACGCCAAGGTACAACATTAAAAGTGATTGTGACTTGTGTAATCTCACCACAATCTGGGAAGGAAACTAAAGTCATTCAAACTTCACCTCTCGTTTTCAACATTCAAGGGCAGTTATTTGGGCTTTGGCACTACATACAAAATAAATACCAAAATGTCTGAAAAGAATCCTTTCATTCAAGAACATGCCATTAAACTCAAAAGACTGATTCTGCCCAAGGCCGCGAAGCAACTCAAGCAATGAAAAAGCTTATCTTGCTCACAAAAGTTTGCCCTTGAAGCAATTGAAATAATCCAGTCCTACCTGTCTATCCTTCGATGTTTTGCTGCTTTTGGTCGGTTCAGTGTGCAGCAGACCATCTGCTGAGATCTGTGCTGCCTGCTAAATCTGCCATCACCTCACCACTGTTGCTCAGTGCCTAGGAGAAAGTAAGAATGAGAGGAACAATGTGAGAAAATACTTTAAAGTCTGAATTATGCCAATTATAATTTACATTTGTTTTTTGGTCACATATAGCTTGTGTATATTATGCATACATAAAGCAAGTGGAGAGATACATATTGAAAAGAAATTGATACACTTTACGATTTTTTTTTCTTCAAATATTTCCTTCTAATTGAATTCCCTGAAACAAAATCCAGCCCAATCAACTGCCTTCAGAAGTCACTTAATTTTCAAAGAGAGTGTTATATTGTGTAATTTATTTTCAGTATAAGTATAGAAGTGCTGTAAAGGCCTCAGATGTTTCATAAAGATTATTAGTCTACAACACAACAGTTAACACACCAGACAGATCTAAGGCAAGAGTTATGAAGAACTGAAAAGCATGGCTAAGGTACAAAACAATATATTTTTTTTCACAGAACACCGTTTGATCCGTCATCAGAAAATGGAAATAACGTGACAACACTGCTAACCTAACAAAGGCATTTAATTCACCTAAACTGACTGGCTAGGCAAGGAGAGCATTAATCAGACATGCAGCCAAGAGGCGCATGGCAACAATGACATCCAGATCGTCTGGGAGAATCTGTTAACAAGACAATCTTTAGTTATGCATTCCTCAGATCTAGCTTTCATAAGAAATAAAAATAAAAAAAAGTGGAAAAAAAATATGTTTAAGAAAAAAACAAGAGAGCTCTTTTGCAGTTTAACACAAGAAGAAAGGCACAAGACTATTCGCATATGCTCTGTGTTGGTGGAACAGTGATATACCCCAAAAGATGTGCAGCTGTAACAGTGGTGAAATGTGGTTATAAAGTATTGACCATCACTCAAGGGCTAAGTATAAGGGCTAAAATATACACTACATATTTTATTTTTCTAGTTTCTTTTTCTTCAAATACAATCCCAGTAAAATATACTGAGATTCGCACCTGACTACTACAAATAATATTTTGCAATGTGACTAATGTACCTCTTCTTCTTGTTAATGGTTTGTTCTTCAAGCAGATGTTTTAGTATAATCCCCCAGATGGATACATTTTGATGTTGTTATACCTAATTTCTAATGAGTATCAGGAGACAAAACCTAAAAATTTCACCATCTGCAGCTGCGTATGTCAAGTACAGCTAGTGGTTGTACAATAATGGATTCAGCCTCTATCATTTAATCAGAGTGCCAAGAAATGAATGTCATTGCAGCTTCTTCACATCTTCTTCACCGCATTGTTTAATATCCTGAAGACATGAGCGGAATCTGTTGCTATAGAAACCTAAGAAGTACAGTAATTTTAATAAATGTGATGATCTAGCAGAGGCAGCCAAAAGTCTGAGCCAAAGGTCTCCAACAAGACTGTCCGATATCAAGGCGATGGGTTAAGATCTGGGTGGGTGGAGTTTGGATTTTATTTCACTTAAGCCTAACATATGCACTTTATGTATTAGCTGCAACAAGCTCATTTTGAACTCAAGTCAAATTCTAAACAAATAACCACCATGATGTGAACTGGTTGTTCTTTCCCCAACCCAATGATTATAGTCTTTAAAGACAATAAATTGTCTCACTCTGCATTTCAGTACATTCAACATTCTCTGCTCTGGAAACAGCTTGACAGAAAACCCAACAGTATGCAGATTACTTTGTGCAGAAAGATAAATGATAATTACTGCTGCACCGATGCACTGTCAGCAGTGCACAAATGTGTTTCTGACTAAAATAAAGGGAAGAGCTGAGAGTGTCTTTAAGCTAGTTATATGGTGTGTGCATGTATATAACTGCACTGACTGATGTATGCAATACTGTCAAACATTGAACACAATGTAAAAAAAACATCTGCCTTTTTTCTGAAATGTTCCAAAGTGCAGCTTTTCTCCTCAAGACCGTCTGAAGATAAGCTCTACTGAACCAGCATAAATCCAGTCGGTTCTGCTTTATTCCCTCCAAAAAGTGCCTGAACATGGATTCAGCAAATTTGAAAAGCGGAATTATGGCCATGTTGTTTATAGAATTATCCAGTGAGTTGTTTGTGTGAATGTGTGTGTGTGTGTGTGTGTGTGTCGCTACATTTTCCACAGCCCATTCTTTACAACATCTGCCTATTGTGAATGAGTAGATAAGATAAGGGAGTGACCAGATTTTCCAAATCATTTCTAATTGTCTACATTCTCTAATAACAAAAGATATGCTCAAGCACAACAGTACTGTACAAAAATTACTCAGCATTCTACAACAGACTCGTTCAGCATTCAATAAAAGCAGATTTTTTTTTTCCACTGTGAAAGCGCAAACCAAAGGCAGTGTAGCCCGAACAGTTGTAACAATATTATAGCTAACATATTTAATTAATTCAGCATTTGTCAAACTGATTCACCTAATGCTCAATATTTAGGGTAAAGCTAAAAATTTAACTTTAATTTATGAAGGTTTCAAAAATCAGCTTTAATGGCAACTAAAATTACAGTTGAATTCAATGTTTTAGTTTAAGTCTAAACTAGTTTTAGAGGGAAGACTTTTACAAATAGAATAAAATGTTCCATGAATCTCAAATGGCACTTTGAAGAATCTATGTTTTCTAGAATAACCCAGTTCAGATCTGAATATAATTTGAACAAAAGGTGGTCAAACATCTGGACAGAAAGCGATAGTAGCTGAATGATTTTAATTAATCATACAGCACAGTGCTACTGTGAGCTGGGGTTTCTGAGTGGTCTGCAAGCTTCTGGCTACCAGAACAAAAAGTTTTCCTGAAGAATTTGGCATTGTAAGATGAAAAGTGATGCTGCCTTTTTCCGCCTAAGCAGGGTGTACATGTGTTTGCACACATGAACTGCAGCATACACACAAATATAAGCCATCACAGAAATAACTGGGATTATTGTCAAATGAATCACCCAGCTTCTGACACTTTGCTACTTTGCCCCTTCTATCCATTTTTGCTCTTACAAGAACAGGGATGTTGCATCTGTCATGTTGTAGTAGAAGCTTTGAAACACAGCTTGGCCCAGGCAAGCTGTTGAGCTGCCAAATGCTGCTGTGAAAGAGGGGAGCTGTGAAGTAGCCGATGACTGACTGACAGCTCAGGAGCTTTGCAAAGTAAATGACATGTGAAAACAGCAAATCTCGTTTATTTACTAGTCTGTGTTTTTGTTTGTATTTTTCATCCACTGTCATATTTTTTATTTTTATTTTTTTTATGTCTATGAAAAAGTCTGCTGGTAAGCAGATGAGCTGCATAGATTATTTTCTAAGATGCTAAAATGCTGGTTTAGTTTCTGTAATGAGTGCAACTAAATGTCACACTTTCCGTGTAATTTATCCATATTCTTCACACATTTCTGGGATTCTTTTGTTTAATCATTTTATTTAGTGGCTGTGATTGTTGTTTTATTTGATTTACACAGAAGTAAATAATCCAGTGCACATATTTGAAAAGCTACCATCAGAAAAGCCACTATCACTTTCTGTCCAGAGTTGTATATAGACAACCAGACATCCAAATGCTGGGTGCTAATGTTCTAGCAATGTTTTTCTAACACTGTTATTTAGCTTATATTATGATATGCAGCTGTTCTGTACAAATAAAGATTGACCCGCCCACAATGCTGGAAAACTGGGGAAACCGAAACAACAAATTATTCAACTATTAAATATCTGACAACTTGTGTGTAAAGCACTGAAGGTGTTAGATGAATATATTTAAAATGAACAGTTGTCTACATTTAGCTTGAGATTAGAATGCTAAAGCTAGATAGCCTTGCACTCTATCCATTTTGGGGAAGTTTATCACAGCTGTGTACTTGGCGACTGTTGGCCTGCCTGTTTTATTAACCAAAAAGTCAGACTGAGTGACTCCTGCAGCCAACAGCAGCAGGCGGCGCTAATAAAATAACTTGTCTGGCATAAAAACCAAAAAGTAAGAGTGAGTAATTAGCTGCTGGAACAATGGCAAGCAGAAAGCCAAGTTTCTGAAAAATGATTCAACAAAATGGGAAAATCTTACAAGGGGCTTTGGCTGCAATTTATTCTACTATTAGCTTCCAGCCACTGCAGAAATGAAGTGCATCAACCAAGCAGGGCTGCTGCATAGCAGGTGAAAGCTGAACCTGAAATCACCAGAAGCACAAGGTGATATATTTATATAGTTTTTAATTTACCCTTGTCTTAAACATTTAATTAGCTTCTATTAACTGATGGTAACCCCCCTCCCCCAGAAATGCTGAATTGCTAAAGAGTGACATTGTTTTGTGATAAATTGACAGATGTGTGAATGAGACTAAAAACAAACAAACAAAAAATAACGCATCCGCTGCCACCACTCTAAACAGGCTGGTAGGAATTGAATAAAAATATTTAATGAACATGTTTTCTATTTGTTTTTTTCCCCCTTTGTCTTCTCTTTCATATTTCTTCTGTAATTGTGGAAGTGACACTAAACATATAAATCTGGAAATTGTTAGAAGCTTCAATTCTATGAGGAAATAAATAGTTAATGAATCATAATCAACTCACTTACTGGTTGTTTTATCAGCCTTCACAAAAATTGCAGTGAAAAAAATATCAAGCCACGCTATCTGTCCTTTACCCTGTAATAAAAATATATTTTGAACATAGCCACACACAGTCTACAACTCATTCTTTAGCTGTTTATTTAGTCATGAAAAAAAAAAAAAAAACTGTTGCAGCTATGATGAGGTTAATGAAAAATAAAATCTGGACAAGCTATTAAATATTCATTACTTTTTCTTACTGGTACAAGTTTTCATATTTTTTAAAGAGCAAGAGCATGGACATGTCTCAAAAAAGATCAACTTGTGTTGTCTCTTTCTCATAGTACAGACATAAAATTTCCTGTCAGGTCTTCTTTTAGCATCTTGCCGTCTTCCTTTGTGGTTAACATCCTTGGACAGCCAGGCCTTGGCACAGTAGCATTTATTTTGAAAGTCCTCATCTTACAGACTATTTTCTGTACAGTAGAG